AGTGCTCGGTTAACTCAATTAACCCGTTGATGGCGGCGGTGGTGGTGGTGGCGAGCCATTAAAAGCGTAGTCACTGTGTAACGGGATCCAAGCGCATCCTGTAATTATCCGCACCTCTAAAAGCTTCTTTCTAGACGATTCTATGGAACCGGCTTCTCTCCTCCTCGATTCTTTTCTCATCTCGTTATACGATTTTATTCTGATTTTTTTGAAGACTTTAAGCCCAACGAATTTTGATTTGATAAAGCTTTTTTCCATTTAATTTATTGAATAATTAAATTAAGTTTACAGAGAGATAAATTTTGTTTGTTTAAAAAATTAAATATCAATATTATTCATGCAGAGAATCGAAGCGTTTGAATATTCTAAAAAAAAGAAAAAAAAAAAAGAATCGTAATCCTTTCGAAATATATATTTAAAAAAGAAGTTTTCGGTATTAAATTGTTCAAAAGGACCAACCGTTTCATCAAAATAAATTCTCCGAAAGGAATCACGATTTCTTCGAAACAAACTCTCCGAGAAGAATCTGTAAAACTAAATTCTCTCGAAAGTAGCAAAGTCTTTCGAAATAAATCCCCCTTCCCCAGGGAGAGGATCCCATATTTTCCACCCATAATAATCGAATCCGTCCAACGGCAATTCACTTTTTCCCACGTCACAACTCTTCCCCAAAAACTTTGCCTAAAACTTCGCACCAGATCCTGCTCAACTCAACGAAGGTCGAAGGGGGAGCAATTAAATGGGTGAGATAGTGGCGCGAGGCGAAACTTTCGCTCGATAAACCATCGACTCGCATCCATTGTTGAGGAGGAGGAAGAGGAAGAAGAACTCGGAGTGTGAAATTTCGCGCGGCGCCAAAAGTTCCTGTTCCCCGTAATTTTGGAAATGGACCAAGTGTATCGTTTCCCTAGCCCTAACTTCCGCCTTCCAGTTCCATTTGTCGTCGAACTTGGCCCGACCAACTTTCGACTCCTCCTGAAATTTCTCAGATATTAGTTTGAAAACGCGACTTCGCTTCTCGTTTTCAAACTCTCCTCCTTAAATATTTACCCGTTGCTCGTTAATCGTTCCTGAACGAACCATTTCCAAAGATGAAAAAGCAAAGACGGACGCGATCGTTTTTCCGTTTCCGTTTTGGTATCGTTCGATTTTGTTATTCTTAGCCTCCTTTGATTGCTCGGAAGAAAAACGATATATTTTCGATATTACGATCTTTGTTCCATCGAGCCATTTTAATGATCCTTTTTGCCAAAGAGATTCCAACTCGACACGTTCCATTTTTAAAATAAAACTTCAACACGGTTTTGGCGCGAAGAAATTATTCGAACGCTGAGAGATTCGAATATTTTAATTTGTTGAAATCGACAATCGATGAAATAAGTGAATGGGTTAAGATTTCATATTTCGATTCAGCTAATTTTTGCGTTGCAGAAGAATAGCTTCGTGGAATTTTTGGTGATGTCAATTTGTTGCCAGTATCTCCTCGTTTCAGAAAAGAATAATAATTATTCTCCATCGTATTTATTTTCTCATCACAGATTACGATTCTATTCAAAAACGAGCTTCACGTAAGAAGCTTTTGATTCTCCATCTGCAAATATATTTTTCAATAATTAGATAATTTGAATGTTTCTTCAAATTTTGGAATTTTGAGGAATCTCGTAATATAGATTCTTTCAAATTATCGTTTTTGTTGGTCGAAAAGGAATCTTTGTTCGATAGAAAAACACGAGCTATTGGCTTCAATGATCTTTTCCCAAAGGAGATTCAAACCGACATATTCCATTTTTATAAAATTTTTCGAATATTTTATTTTGTCAAAAACAATTGTAAATGGAGCAACAATCGATTTCATAAATAAGATTTCATATTTTGATTCAATTTTTGTGCTCGAGCGTTGTCGAGCAGAAGAACAGATCTATCGACTAATAAGAATTGTTTTTTAATCCTTAAATAGGATGTCGTTTCGATATCTCCTCGTTTCAAAAAAGAACAATAAATTATTCCCTTTATGGACCACCATACAGACGCCTTATAACTTTAATAACTTTAAATTTCGTTTACGATTTTCATCAGCGTTCAACCATCGTCCAGAACATCACGAGTTACAATTCTGTTCAAAAACGAGCCTTAAAAACAATTTCCAAAAGTTGCAACTTTTAATCCACCGTCAGTCGAGCGCTATCCATTTTTCCAATTTTTTTCACTTTACCCAAATTGCATCCCAAGGTTCTGAAAACTGTGTTCGAAGATACGTCTGCTTCCACCACTGCTTTCAATTTATCTTCGTTCATGTATGATCTACCTCGAGGTTCATTTTCAAGATTCTCATTTCCAAAGCTGAATTTTTAAAACCTCTCATCGATGGAATTTTCTTCGAAAGTTAATCCAATATTTCGATACGCTTTGGCTGCACTCGTACAGGAATAATATTCTAAATTCACTTGTGAAAGAAACAATTGAACAGTTAATAACAATTAACAAAAAAGAAATTGTTAAATAAAGGAAATAGAAGAGGACAAGGCAAAAACATGCCAAGCAAAGTATAAGGGAAGTAGAGGTTGATAGTCGTTTATTCAAATGATTGGCAACTTCGTGCGGAACAACTTAATAATAACACCTTAATATTCATTTCCCTACTGTTGAAATTTCATTTGAAACACTTATCCGAAACGCAAAGATCATTATTTGTTGTTTATCCGTTAAACTCGTTCGGGCACAAAGGTATGGACTTTAAAATTTCGTTTTCCTAAAGGCTTAGCAGTGGTAGTTGTCCAAACATTCTCCATGGTTACCTACACGGGGGAGATTTTGATGTAAGTACATCTTGGAGTTACGGTTTAAATTTAACGTAATATTTAACATTCACTTTGACGACCCACGATTTCACGCGAATCTGGAATGCTCTTTAACCAGAATACCAGAAATTATATCTCTGTCAATCGCGAAATATTTTCGAAATATTAGAAATTATTTATTTTTACAATCTCCTCTTCTTATCCCTCTCCATCGAGCTAAAATTTTCGAACGTCTTCGAAACAAAAAATATAAAAATATTTCCCAATCCCAATGTTGTTTCGTTTCTAAAAATAAAAATTTCAACGTTTTAAAATTAAAAACATTTACGCTTATAAACATTACATCGGTAAAAGAAAGTTTCGCCATTCTTTCCACGAAATTCGAAAGCTTTCAAAACCGGTCCATTCCAAGTTCTCGAGACTTGTTCGAGGCTGGTAGCTAGGCGGTTGCGGGAAATACGAGGCGACAGGACGAGGAGGTTCCCAAAGCTTTTCGAAAGGGGTTCGCCAAGAGGCGTGCACGATAAAGAAAAAGGAGGGGGGAGGGGGGAGGAGGGCGGACCGGGTATCGCGGTTACGTGGCGACGTAACGCCTTAACTTAATTAGCCCGGAAAATTGTATAACGTAAGTTGGGCGTAATGCAGTTGGAGTTTACGGGGGCGACGATGGCACAGAGCCTCTGAAATTGCTCATTAATAGCGGCAATAACGCTATAATTGGCGTGGCACGCGTGAAACCACCTTTCCTCTTCCTTCTC